TCTTTTTATGCATACTCACCGATATTGAATGCGAGGTGCCTTGGTTCACCCCGGCTAACGCTTTGATGCGAGAGGCCGATGGGAGTTTAGTAGTGTCCAGAAGTGCACTGCCGTGCTTCGTCAGATGGCATACGGGACGACATCTGATATGTTCGACGAATACTTGAAGATGTCGGCTCGGAGCATCAGGTCCTGTGTTTATAAATTTTCTAAAGCTATTATTCAAATTTATCATAAAAGATATTTACGCAAGCCTACAGCGAGCGACATTCATCAGTTACAAGCAAGGCATGCCGCTAACACAGCTTTGTCGACATGCTTGGGAGCATTGATTGCACGCATTGGGAATGAAAAAATTGTCCCAATGCGTGGCATGGTCAGTTCTCCCAAGGGGATCATCGTCCTAAGCCTACCATCATGCTCGAAGTTGTTGCTTCAAATAACTTGTGGTTTTATCATGCTTTTTGTGGTGTCGCGGGCTCGAACAATGACATCAACGTTCTCGATCAATCGCATATTTTTAACGATTGGATTAATGAGACCGCACTCGACTCATCTTTTGAGCTTAGAGGGACACTTTAGAAGCGTGGATATTATTTGGCCGATGGAATATATCCAGATTATTCGATGATTGTCTAGTCCCTCTCCGAATCATTGAGTATTAAATGCCAGACCTACAAAAAAGCTAATGAAGCGGCGAGAAAAGATATTGAACGAGCCTTCCGGGTCTTGAAAGCTAAGTGGCACATTCTAGATCATCCGTCCAAATGTTTTTTCTCAAACAAAAATGAGGAATATCATGTACGCATGTATTACTCTTCATAATATAATCATAGAGGACAACGGGTTTGCGATTTGTCAATACAACCCGGACGAGGAGGTGCCTATGTACGAATAAATTGACGAAGAGAAGAAACAAAGAAACCGCCAAGAAAACTGAAGCCGAGAGATACATAATGCACTAACGGTGGATTTGATTTAACATATCTTCTGTTGCTCGAATAATTAGTAATTTGTTTGTAGTGTTGTGTTTTTTATGAATGTAATATTTTTTAATGAATATTTTTTAATGAATGCATTTTTTATGGATGTAATATTTTTTAATGAATGTAATTTTTTTAATGAACTATTCTCCGATTATGTTAAATAATTAAATAATTATATTTTATAAATTTAATTTTAGAAAATATATATATATTTAAAATATTAAAAATGAAGGTTTGAAGCCTGGGGCTTCAAACTCATTTGCACTAAAATTGTGAGCTAAGTTAAAGCTGACGTGGTAGAGAGAGAAGGTTTGAAGCTCCGGGGCTTCACAAATATTTCCAGTGCTCTAAGGAGTAAACTCTCAAGAATATTGCTTGAACTTTTACGAAAATTTTAATTTGGTACCTGAACTTTAAAATCGTTTACAAAAGTATCTAGACTTTTACCATCTTTTCATTAAAAGTCCATTTGGCCATTACCTGTGACCACAAGGTCAATTTGGGTTAAGTTGCAAAATCTAAATTTTTATATTTTCACATTGACCTTCACTTCTTCTTCTTCTTCTCCTTACACTCTCTTAATTTATATTCTTTTTTTCAACCCACTAACATTTCTTTCTATCCTTTCCTTTTTCCCCTCTTTTCTTTTATTTTTTTTCCTTTCTTTTCTTTTTTTAATTGCTATTTTTTCAGTCTTTTCTTTTGCTTTTTTTCTTTGAGTAAATTTCATAATTAGTTCTTTTAAATGGGGGCCTCATATTTAGTTCTCTATTATCAAATATTACTCCCGTAGTCCTTCTTGTATGGGCGCCTTTCCACAAATGGTCCTTTTTTTAATTTTCTTCCATGTTGGTTTTAGTTTAAAGGCTAAAAGTATAATTTGACATCAACCTTATGTTCAATGAAGTATTCTGATATTGGTTAGACGAATAACACAAAAATAATGAATATGATTGTGAGTTAGGATTCTGACGAAAAACCATATCTGTAGATTATGGTTATAGTAGAAAGCGACTGTAGTTCACAAACAACACATCAGGATCGACGGATCGGCCTTTGGAATTGTGTATGAGAATAAAGATATATTATCATTGTGAAATTACACTTTTAGCTCTCAAATTAACACCGACATGATAAAAGATCAAAATAGGACTATTTATAGAAAGATACTCATAAAAGAAGGACCACCGAGGTAATACTTAAGAATAGAGGACTAAATAGGGATACCCCTTTTATAAAGGACCAATTATAGAATTTATTTTTTTTCTTTTGATCCTTTATTAAATCTTTATTTATTTTTTATTCATTTTCACTTTTTATCATTTCTTCCCTTTTATTTTAATTTTCTTTATTTTGTCCTCTTTTTTTACCTTTTTAAAAATATTCACTGTTTTAATTTTTTCTGTTTGTTTCGGTTTGCTACATTTTTCTTTAGTTCATTTTTGAAATCTTTATTTATTCCTTTTCCACCTTTTCTCATTTCTTACTTTTTTCATTTTTTGTTTCCTTTTTTGTTTTTCTTTCTTTTTTCTTTTATTTATCTATTTCGTTATTTTTTTTATCTTTAATCTTTTTTGTTAATAACTTTTTTATTTTATATTTAATCAATTTAAGTAAATAAAAAACAAACCATATGTCTTATTTTTTTTGTTTGTTTTATTTGAACTTTTTTTTGTTAACTTTTTTGTCTATTTTTAATTTTTATTGTAAACAAATAAATAAAAGAAATGAATAAAAAAGCCTTAAATAAATACATAAAAAATGAAAAAAAATGATAAAAAGTGATAATTAGTTTTAAAAAATAAATAAAGAGTTAAAAAGGATCAAAAGAAAAAAGCTAAAAAAAGACGGAAAAAATACCGAATAAGAAAAAAGAAAAAGAAGAAATGGAGAGTGGGTTGGAAAAGAAAAGAATATGAGTATTATGGGAGTGTAAGGCGAAGAAAAAGAAGAAATGGAGGTCAATGTGAAAAAATAAAAAATTGGATTTTAAAATTTGGTCCAAAGTTCAGGTACTTTTGAGAAAGGTTCTGAAGTTCAAGTACCAAATCGAAATGTTTGCAAAAGTTGAGCTAGTATTCTTAAAATTTACCCCCAAAATATGAGTAGAAAAGAAAATCCCTAAAATGGGAGTTGTTGACTGTTTAAATAAAAAACAAAAACATTAAACGCATTGTATGCTATTTTTTGTTTAACTAAAATGTTCATTAAAATAAAACTCATCAATTAATAAAATAAAATAAGTCAAACTAAGAATAAGCGAAACATAAAAATAGAACAACCCATAAAAAGAACAAATCCAAATGCTAATTAATTTTTTTCTTCATTTTTATGAAAAAATAAAATTTAAAAAAATAACAAACAAAAAATAATAAAGAAACAAAAAAATTAGACAAAACAATATCAAAAAATAAAAAAGTAAAACAAACAATAAAATAAAACACTTCTTAAGAGAAATAGATACAAAAAACTTACAAAAAAAAGTTTACAAAAAACTCGTAAACAAACAAACAAATAATACAAAAGTATCAAGAAAAAAAGATAAAAAAACAAAAATTTTAACAAAAAAACAAACAAATAAGATCAAAAAAACAAAAAAACAAAAATTATGAAAAAGGAAAGACAAAAAGAGGGAGCTCAATAAGAGAGTGAGGGGGGATGCTGGAAAAAGGGGGGAAAGGAAGGGGGCAAGATGGGGGGCTGGGAGGGGTAGGGGTGGGGTGAGGGGAGCTTTGAAGATAAGAATAAAAGGGTGTGAAAGAAGAAGAAGAAAAAGGGTGAAAGAAGAAGAAGACAAAGAAGGGGTGGGGGAGGGAAAAGAAGAAAAAGAAATGGGGTCAATTAAAAAATTATAAAATACAAAATTTAAAATTTGGCCTAAATTATAAAATACAATGTTACCTGAAAACCGGCTTCAGGTACCATTCGTGAAAGGTTTTCAAAGTTCAAGAAAGTTTTAGGTTTTGAAATTTAGGTACCGAATTGAAATTTTCGTGAAAGTTCAGGTACTATTTTTGAAATTTACCTCACAATATTTGTACGACATTAGTTGAGGCTGGCCTAGGAGCTTCGCTAGAGAGGAGCAGTCTTGTTGACGATCAGCGGTGCTTTCTCCTTGTATGAGTCGCGCGGGAGCCACCTCAGTTCATCACTAGTTTTTGGAGTTGAGTGGTGCTGGTTCGAAGCTGCGGCCAGTGTTGGACGGCAGCGTTGGTTGGTGACGGAAGCCTCAGTCACCGGTGCTAGGCTGGAGAGAGAAAAGGCTCGTCAGATTGGGTTGCCTTCGTTCGAGTTGCACGAGGAATGAGGCACCTCCTTGTTCGATCTTCTAAGTTCATAGTGTCACACTAACTACCAAATACAATGTCAAAAAAGACATAATGGCAAATATGACACTACATATAATGTCATAAATGACAATGCATAATGCTAGAGATGCCTATATGTAATATCATATGTGTGAATTCATAGTGTCACACAAAGGCATAAAGTTTGACAGTGTAAGTAATAACCAGGAAGAATATTTTAGGACAGAGGGAGTAATTTTTTTAAAATTTTTACATCTACAACTAAATATATTAGATTGAAAATAAAATTATTCAAAAATTGTAACGTAGAACGGAAAGATTCAAATAGGACGGAGAGAGTATATTTAAGGAAAAGCTTTTGTAACATCCATTTTGTTTCAGCCTTGTCGAAAACTATTTACTTTTCTTGCTATTCAGATTGTTATGCTTATTCTGCTCATAAATAATGGAGTATTTCTTCCCTCCAGATCCAATTACTCACTATCTAAAAAATCACATTTTTTATATAAAATGACTTTTAAGATATCAAATAAGTTTGCCACTTATTCATGTCAACAAAGCATCCTGTGTCTTGGATATTCTAAACATCATTAATTCCTTACTGAATATGGCAAGTTGACAACCAGTTCTAAAAAAATGAAAACAAGTGAACAACTACGCCCAGAAGGAGAGAGTAGTGAACAAACAGAACAAGGTGATACTTTTTGGAAACCAATTAACAGAGCCTTTGTCTGGTGTCTCTACACTTATCTGCAGCTATGCCAACTACTGTTTCCTTCCAGTGCTTATAATAAAACATTTTAGCATCTTCAAATCATATTTATACTCTATTGTAACAATGTGAAATCTCTGGTATAAACCTATGATACATATATTCTTTAACTTTATACCACAACAAAGTTCAGAAAAGTACAGAAGCTGTTCTGATCTAAAGCAACTTTGCTGCATTTTGTTGATTATGATCTTTGGTATCACCGCATAAAGTTGAGGACCACATTATTACTCTTGTGGCCTTGCACGCCAGAGAGAACTGAGAGCTCGAAGACGGGAAAAATATTCGTTTATGACAAGAAGCGCACGCGCTGATTGTCTAGTAGTCAGTACATTGTGCATCTGCTGCAATGTCTGTTGCCGCAACTTGTCCGCCTGATATGACAATTAAACACAACATTTTTGCAGGAAGGTTTTAAGCCCAAACTACGAACCTTGTGGTTAAAAAAGGGATGCGTGAAAATGAGAGAGACCAGCATTACCTGGCGGAGGAAACCTTCAAGGGTACCTAGTTTTCCCATGGCCATTGCCATTTGACCCATGTAATTGGCTACATTTCCAGACTGTCCATCAGGGCCAGAAGTGCCATTTGACAATGTTTCAGCAAGTGATTGTTGCAATGCCTCCATTCCTTGTGAAATAGCATCTTCTGCCTGATGAGATGACTGTTGCAGTGTGTATATGCCAGCCATCTGCTGCTCGGTCAGCGGCTCCAATTGCTTCATCAGAAGCTGTATTGCCATCAATTCCATTTCAGGTTAAGAAGAGGCATCAAATATGGAATACGGAGTATTAAATATATATTTTTTTGAAACCTTTTTTTTTACAACCTTAAGAAGTTCTGATGGACGAAAGCCACCAATCCACAAAAAACACCTCTCTGCAGGTGATTTCCACATTCCAGACAGCACATGAAATACATCAGATTTGGCAGCATTTCCTTTCAGCTTGAACACTTCATCAAAGTGTGAAGTGACATTGTCCACAACGATCCGCAACTCAGCATCACCTGCGTGTGAGTTGACTGCTGCCCTTAATTCACTAATTCTCTTGTTTTGTTCTTCCAACCACCGTCCATATTCTACATCAAAAGCCAGAGCTCCTGCAGCACACCACATTTGTTGTAAAGGCAGTCATTAAACTTCCATGATGTAATTTGTCAAGAAAAACCTTACCATTAGATCCTACTCCATGGGACTGATCACCCATGCTTGAAATGAATATGCCCTGCACAAAGTATACACAACAATAAGCATCAAGGATTTCAGCAAATCATCAACCGCCTGCAACAAAGGTATGCATATAGCACATGGAACCCTAAGAAGTTTTGACCACCAAATTAAACCTGCTGTCGTGCTTGCTTAAGCTCTTGTTCTAACTGTGTTAGCTTCATTCTGCTATTCTCCAGCTGTTGAACATATGCCTAGTAGAGTACGGTTTGTGGGTTAATAATTTAAACCATCACAAATGCAATCATTTTGATGATGTTGGGATTTGAGCCGAGAGCAAAATGCATTGGACTTAAACAAATAGGCAAATGTAAATTCGGAAAATAAAAGGGAGTCATACTTTCTTTCTCAATCGGCTTTTTCTTGCAGCTTCACGGTTCTGTGCAAGTCTTCTTAATGTCTGCAAATGATATGCTTAGCAAGAGAAACTTCTTTAACCCTTCTGCATGTTAATGATAATATTTTAATCTAACCTTTTGATCCAAATTCTTTTCTTTTGATTTATCACTGGAATCAGAAGCTGCAACACCCATGTATTGACCACCCATTTCAAGCTGCACAGTGATTAACTGTTGTTATTACATAGTTTACACAAACTAATATAGGATCTATCAACACGTGTTGCACAGAATTTCAAATAAAATATTGAAAATATATGTTCCACTCAAGCAGGACAGTTGCAAATAATTTCAAACAAAGTATGGGAAAGGTATCTCCACTGAAGCAGGATAACCATTAAAGGTTGAGTTTGATGGCCTACCTAGAACTCTATTAACATTTGGAGTTCCATCCTAAAAGAATTTACCAAATAAGAGGTGTTGACAAGACCAAATTTGTTAGTTTATATTTTCATATTTGTCCAATGTGGTATGACTTAACATGCCTTACGAGACAGTGGATTGTTGGTGTTCATTTTGTTAGATTTGCTAGAATCAAACTTGACCATTTCAACTTAATATGCTATGTTGCCATATGAGTGGCAGCATTGTGTTTGGTAGTGAACAAACTCTCAAGTGATAAAGCAAATAGAAAGTACCAAAATAGTTGAGAATATTCATAGATGTCATTTGGTAGTAAATAGACTCTGAAGTGACAACATCTTTCGCTATAACAAACCGCAGATTTAAAACCTATTTTAATCAAATAACTCTTCTAGACAAACAGCCGCTTAGAGTAAAATTAAAGAGATGGAAACCAAACAAATATGGAAAAGGCTCCTTAAGTGCTGCTAAACAAAATGATAAGAGGTCTTAGGTTGCAATTTACATGTCTATTTTTGTCATCTCCATCCATATCAGTAGAAGTATCGGTGTGGGAGCTAGAATCCGCCATGTTAGACTCTGCCCAATTATCCTGATTTGAACTGCCAGACCCGTGAACTTGATTCCTCTGCACTCCCATAGATGCATGCATCGCTGCCACAGCAGACAACCTATTGATTGAAGAGGCAATATCCTGAAATGTTCAACAAGTATAATAGACATCATTAATATTAAACTGTTTGAAATGATATACAAGTAGTATTAAATAATTATTATGAGTGAATTTTGGTAAAAGGAATGGTGAGAGGCAGCAATGACCTTGTTGTTGAGTATTCCAGACCCACCGGCTACGGCTGATGGGTTACTAGCAAGCGTAGGATTTAAAACGGGGCCTGCACCATTAAAAATGTGTTATTAAATCCACCAAAGAAAGACTTGTGTGTGTCTGTGTGTAAGGCCTTGGGTTAGCCTAGTTATTGGATTGGATTTTATATTTCATTGTAGTTTGACTAATGGGTATTACGAAGGGTTTAGTTCAACCAATGATAACAGTGAGTGTGTGCAGAGTGATGAAGGGTATAGATACTCACTTAGACCAGCATTAGAACTATCTGCAATACGGAATCCAAGATATTGCTCAAGCATCCCAAAATTCATCATTTGAGAAGTATGTGCAGCACCATTTGCATTCCCTTCAGTAGCCCTGTAAATGCATGTGTTGGGTGAGCCAAACAGGAAATTCAGCATTAGGTTTATTTACTTAGTTCAGTACAGATCTTTTTGGTAGAAGGTTGTAACTCTGTTTATTCTGCTTATTTGCAGAGTAAGGCTCCATTTGCCCTAGTGTTTGCTGAAGAAGTTGGAGGGTTTTCCTAAAATCTCCCAATATTTTTGAGAATACCCACTTTTTTATTCCACAAATATTCTAATATGTTTAAACAAACACACAAAACATTTTTAAAAAATCAACTGTTCTAACACCAACAACAGCTACAAACAAGCAACAACTATAAACAGCTTTTGACTTTTTTATTCGGGTGAAATGAATGTTTCCAAAAACTTGATAAAATTCTAGCAGATAACACTTGCAAAACTTTCCATGACTCCGTAAGTAATAATTAGCTTGATTATAGTGAATAAATATTAAACATCAGAGAAATGGCTATGTTTGAAAACCACAAGACAATGAAATCACCTTCATATGCGAAGAGTTCAAGTCAATTAAGCATAAATCATGAATTTCAATAAGCATAGTGTACAACCACAAAGCTAACTAACATCACGGAGGATCAATCAAAGATTTAACTTCTACCCAATGTTTATTCAAGGCACTATATACACTCTGGAGTAAGATTCATCATCCGTACTCAGAATCATAGCTATCTAACAGATTAGTGAGATTACTATTGGGCTGAACATCTGAATTTTCTTGTGATACCTTTGGGCTTGGATGATTTATTTATACTACAGGGTTTCACATAAATATATAATCATGTCAATATTTCTCAAAACAAAAAAAAACACAAAACTGCATAGAGAGACAATCTTATATTTACAAAAACAAATCTCAAGAAACCATAAAAATACAAAGAAGGGATTAAGAGAGAGAGAGAGAGAGAGAGAGAGAGAGATAGAGATTACATAGGGTTGGAAACTGGTGTTGTTCGGGAAATGAAGCTTGGCATCCCAGCTGAGGCACTTCTCTCAAGGTTCATTCGGTCTGCTTGTGTTACTTCCAATGAACCATCATCATCAGTATCATCAAAGCTTCACCAGAATTGATTATGGTGACGACAAAAACCCCAGCAACCAGAGATGATTCAGCATCAAAAAAATCTTAAAAAAACATAAAAATCAAATCTTTTATTATACAGAGATTTCAAAAGGCCCAAATTCCAGTTAAAATCTCACACGGAAACTGAACGATTAATTTCGAGAATATAAATAGAGTCTCCCAGTGGAGCAATTGAGTAGAACTCCCTCCCCGATCAAAGCCTGAAACGGAGTTAAAAATCAAAATCGCCGGGTGAGAAAGCAAGAAAATAAGTATAGTATTCTCTTTTACACCCGGATTATACTGCTTCTTTGCTCAAAATTTCAACGGGCATAACATATTTCCTGTGAGAATTTCTTTTTCAAAAAAGCTTTTTTTCCTCTTTTTTTTTTGGTATTATTAAAGCGATGATGATGTGTGTATGACCGGAGAGTCCGGAGTGGGTGACGTCCGCATTACGCCAAATCACCGCAAAGAAAAGAAAGAGTGCACACGTCGTTCACTATGGAAGCCCTTTTGGATTTTACCGGCCACCTTCCTTTGCTATGCCAACTCAACCCTCCGTTTTTATTCTCCACGAATTATGCTATTTCCACTCCCACTTTATATCCTAATCTATAAAATATACTCCCTCCGTTTGGAAAAACACTTCCCATTTGGATTTAGGGCAAAAATAAGAAAGTGTTAAATTATAGTTGATTTCCAATTTTGCCCCTGATGTGATGGGTAAAAGTAAGATGTGATGGATAGATTACTAGAGAAAAAGTATGATGTGATATGTAGGGTATGAAAAAGTAAGGGTAAAAGTGGTTTTTTAATAGAAAAGGGAAGTATTTTGTTGGAAGTGAAAAAAATGAAAGAAGAAGTTTTTTTGAGAACGGAGGGAGTACATATAGATAGACCTAGCAAGTTTGACTCGGACTTGATAACTCGAACTGAATAATTCAAAATCGATTTTGAAATAATTCGAAAACTGGAGAAGCGAATTAAACCTGAACATTCGAAATGATCCGAACCAAATTGGATGTATTCATACCCGATTCAGATCTGGATCTAATTGAACCCGAATCTGTTAGACCCAAACCAGTTAAATCCGGAACTGATTAGATCCAAAACCGATTAAGCCCGAAATCAATTTGACCTGAAACTGATTAGACCCAAACAAACCGATTAGACCCGATATTGATCAAGTTCAAAACAAATTAAACTCAAATCTAGACAAACTTAATAGCTCAATGGTTGATATCTTTCTAAGAAAAACATATTTAAGTTATAGGTACAACTAATTTAGTGCACAAATTTTTTACTCCATATATCACTCAAACTAAGGTTTAAGTTTGTTTTGTATTTTAATAGAGAGCTTATAAACTTTATAGTGACATCGTAGCACACATTAATCGATATACTAGCTCATTATTGGTGACACTTGTATATATACTCTCTTTACACATAGGAATGAGAGGCTACACACAATGCTAACATTCGGAACTCTAAAACCAAGGGATATCATCTGAAACTCGTATAAACCCAAATTGATATAAACCCAAACTGATATAAACCTGAATTGGTATGAACCTGAATTGATATAAACCAGAACCTAAACTGAACAGAAACAGAAAAAAACAAATCAAATTTAACCCAAAACTGAACTGACCCGAACCAAATCGACCCGAATCGAGTATAACATATATCCGAAAGAGACCCAAATAAAAAAGATCCGAACCAAAACCGAATTGATTGACCCGATTCTCAGATCTACATATACACACTTCCCTCTCACTCCTTCAAGAGTAAGGGTTGGGACGGGTCGGAAGGGTTCTATTTTTAGAAATCATCCTAAATAGGACTAAAACATAGAGAAAAGTACCAAAATAGGACTTTCATGTTTTTTCTTCCGGAATAGGACTTTGCACTGTGGTAATGTGACTTTGCATTGTGGTAATGTGGCAGTGTACATGTGCAAATTACTATACTTTCTTGGTAATGTATATGACCATGTTTGGTAATGTAAGTCATATTTCGGAAATAAAAACATGGAAGTCCTATTTTGGTATATATTTTCAATGTTTTAGTCTTACTTTGGTCTTTCTCCCTTCTATTTTATATTCGATAACATTTTATGTCTTGTCCCATTTTTTCCAACTAGTTTGGGCTACAAATTTATTTCTTTTTGTCTTTGAATATTTGAGATCGGAACAAAATAGAATGGATTTGAATTATCCTGTTTTGTCATTTTTGAAGTTATATATAAAAATATAAAATATATAAAGTGATGCAGCCCACTTTGACTAGTAAAATAATGAGAAAAATGTAATATTAATTTAAAATATCTTTGAAAAGTCAAAAACAAAATAAAGCAACATAAAAAATTGTAACAACATCTGCCAAAAGGCAAAACTATAAGTTTTATAAAAACTATGAACAACGAATTCATGTGGGCACGAGTTGTAATGATCTGGGCTTTTAGATGTTCTGGTCCTAACCCATTTTTAGGATATTTGAACTTGAATATTTAATTTTTATCTACTTAGAAAAAATATATTGTGATACTCTTTTGTATTATATTATTATATAAATAAATAGATATATACATACATACGGGACAAGACGGAATGACAAAAATACGTATATGTCCTGGTCCTGTCCTAAAACATACCCTATAATTATTAATGAATAATTATTCGATTAATCAAATTTGTTTTGATTAAAATATATTTTTGTTGGGCTTTTGGCCGATACAAAATATGTTTTGATATCCAATATCACAATTAGGATAAATCTCATAGAGATAAATCCAATATGCTGACTATTTGTGTGGTCTTGATTGGGAACCTGAGTACAGACCCAAATCAAGAATAAATGAAGAAATTATTTATGATGTGATTTTTGAAATAATTTATTGAAATAAACCATGAGAATAAATAATATGAAGGAAATAAAAGAACTTTTCTCAGTAAAGGTCAATTAACCAAATTTTGACTTTGTCAAAGTCAAATACCCAAAAATATGATGTCGGTAAAAGTATTACAAATAATTATGAAAATTATATCGTTGAATAGAGTTTAACTGTCTATCGCAACGGTGCAATCGAAATTCAATTTGGGGAAAGTAGGACCAAAAAGTGTACTCCGACTGGAACCAAAATTGGTCACAATCAGGGAACGGCGTGTAAATTTCAGAGAATCACCACCCTGCGTACTAAGGAAATTCTACGCATCAGTGACTCAGCTCATTGGCAACCGAGGTTGCTGTGAGGGGAACGGTCAGTTGTTCATATTTAAAATTTAAAGTTTAAAGTATAAATTTAAATTTTAAATTTAAAAATATTTAATTTTAAATTTCAAATTTTGAATTTAAAATTTGAAATCTTAAATGTAAAATTTAAAATTTTTAAACGGGAAAGTCAAATTTATTTAACATTACATTAAAACTCGTGGCAAGGGAGATCTAGAAATTTTAGAGAGGACAGATAAAGTACACAATTGTTTTTATCGACAAAAATAATAATGTTGAGTTAATCAACGAGAAATAAATGAAAAACCCGAAGTAGGTGGTCGTGGCCGGGTGAGCGTAAACGTAAGGAGGGTAGAAGGTAAGGAGTAGGGTTCACGGGTGGGGTGGTTGAGGGTGGTAAGGGAGTGGGGTGGGGTTGGAAGGAAAGGTGTATGGACGGAGGGAAGGGAATGCGTGGTGGGTGGAGTGGGAAGAGAATAAAATCAAATTTTTTCACAAAAGGGTGGGGTTCTCATGACATTGGAACCCAATGTCATGGAATGACTCAGGGGTGCTCCGGTGTCCCGTTCGTAAAATTGACGGTCTCTACCACCTACCTTCCCAGTAAACCCCTTTACTCCTCCCCGATCCGAACACACCTCCTACCCCCGTCAATTGCACCCCACAAATTGATTTTGACTCCAAAGTTAATTTGACTCCAAAGTCAAAATCAACTTGTGGGGTACAATTGAAGGGGGTGAGAGATGTGTTCGGGTCAAAGCGGGGTGGGGATACCGGAGGTGTTAGAGGGGTAGGAACCGTCAATTTTATGAACAGAGTACCGGAGCGTCCCTGGTCATCCAATTACATTGCAGGTCAATGTTCAAAAAAATATTTTGTTTTTTTGGTGGGTAATTAGGGGTTTCTACTTGCTCGCCTTGGTTCTATTTTACTCCGCATACGGAATTACGGAGTATAGGCCGTATCAAATTTCCCTCCTTCCTCATCTCAAACCCGGAACTGCCATAGCTCACCACCGCATTCTCAACCGTCGGCCGTCTGAAGAAACGGTTTCATTTTATCGTCATCGTCCATCCAAAACGTTGCGATTTCCCCCCCTCCTCTTTTTTTGTTTTATTAATATTTTGATTTTGATTATCGACTAAACTCAGCTTCCGTCCCTTACATACTATGCTGGCTATTCCAAATCTCCCAATAAACCTCACTTCTTATGATTTTTAATAATTCTCAATGAAATCAGCTCTAATCGTTTTTGGATTACCATATTAGTTCTAGAAAATTTGACTGCTTATACGTTTTGGCTAAAAACCCTCAATTTTCCAAAAACCCCAAATATTCAATCTTCTCAAGATTCAGGCTTGATGTTAATTTTTCCGGGATTTGCGGCGTGAATTCTGGTTCTTGGTACCTACGGATCACCTGGCTTCATTGAAGCCGGGAAACGCAGAAAGTTGAGTGGTCTTATGAGTTTTTGCGGGAGATGGTAAGTAATCAGGAGGATGGGCAGAAAGACCCATCGAGAGGAGGAGGTGGGGCTAGCCAGTCTTGGGGCACTGCCGCTTCAGGTCAATCTGTATCAACTAGCGGAAGCATTGGGTCACCTTCAAGCAGGAGTGAGGCTGCCATGGCCACTCCAGCGAATGGAAAAACTTTGTCTCTACTAACTACCCTTGATATCCATGCCGATGATGCTGGATCCCGATCCGTTTCTGGGTCAGTTCTTTGGGCCTTCTTCCGTTTAGTTTTTGTGATTGGAAATTTTTGACTGCTGAATTTATATGCTGGTGAAGTTATCACATATATTCCATGATCCATGTATTCCTATATTAGATGTTTCAAGCCTTAGATGGATTTGTATTTACTCATTCTTATACAGAGTATTAGATGTTTTTCCATGACACTCACACTATGTTTGGTTCAAGGAATTTGAAAGGGAAAAGAAAAGAAAATGAGATAGAAAACAATTTTTCTTGTTTGGTTAGAGAGGAAAATTAAAGAAAAGTAGAAGGATAAGAAAATGAGAAGGCAAAATGAAATAAGAGGGAAAACAAAAGTCTTCCCATTTTGGTAAGAAAAATGAGAGAAAACTATTTTCTTTTCTTTTGCTTATTGATGTCTTGAACCAAACATAGTGTCACGGGATTT